TCCACTCGCTGTCGTCTTTTAGTGCCTTCTTCCATAGACGGAGCTGAACATGGATATATCCTTTCACACATGATGAAGCCACATGCAACAGTGTCTTTCAGAAGTGTGAATGGCAACATATTAGTGGATCTTGAAACCAGTTCAGTGGGTCTTGACCAGTATTAAAATGAGAGAGAGAGACAGACAGACAGACAGACAGACAGACTGAAAGAGAGTTACAGTAGAATAGAAGAGGTATGCATTGCAAGTAGTAAGAGTAAAAAAATTTGTAGACGCTTTTCAGCTATATATGTATGTGTGTATATGTCTGTGTTCCAGGTTCACTGTGGAATATCATAGAATGTATTTCCCACTGACCTGGCAGTTACCAATTTTTGAAAGCACAGAGCTAGAGTGGCTGTTGATCCTGTCATTCCTGCTCAATATAAGATGGTTTAAATTCTAAGCTGGAAATTTGAAAGGGTTTTTTCCCACATGTTAATTACCTTCACTCCTGGTCTTTTTTCTTCTATTCCTTGAAAACACTAATGACTTTCCTCTCTTGTGTAGATTAGTCCCTTGATCTAATCGTCACTCTTTAGGAAGAGTGGCAGTGATGAAGGGAGGGAGAGTCATCACGAGATGACAAGCCACCGGCCTTGGAGAGCAGGACAGACCTGATGGCCGAGGGAGGCTGCTGAGGCGGGTGGAGAGCCAAGGGGAAGGAGGAAGGCAACATGTGAGGAAACACCACCTGATGTGAGTTTAAGGACATTGGAAAGGTACACAGGAAGGTGGACCTGGGAAACCTGGGCAATAACATGTCTTCCAGTCATAGATTTGTCTCTTTGGAACTGAGTGAATGGGGGAAAATAAGGTTCTTGAGTATGTGCGTGGGGTGAAAAGCTGATTGTCTTTGTAACTAGTAAGTATTTTTGCTAGTGTGAAGGTATTAAATATACCACAAATTGCCGGAAGTTAACACACCCATGTCTCCTATTTGTTTAATTATTTCTAAGTTTGCATTCTCCAGAAATTGCATTCTGAAATTTAAAAATCTAAGTAGAATCTAGATTTTTGTATGAGATTGTGGACACTAGAGGAAAACATACTCCTCTGTCTTAGTAAGAATTTACAGTAATTCCCCACTTAATGTCGAAGGTACATAGTCGTGTGACTTGAAGTGAAGACACGTAACAAAACCACTTCTACCACAGGCTAATTGATATAAACAATTGTTAAGTTCCTATGGCATTTCATCATCGTGATAACAAAATGGTATTGAACTAAATGTTATTGGAGGACCTGCTGTAATCACAAGTGAAAACTTCTCTTCTAAAGTTTCCAGAAATTATATAAAATTATACTGATTTCAACCTTCTAAAATTTTTTGAGGTTTGTCATAATCGTCACCTACTGTGCATGAGGTGAAATGCACGAAAAGCACTTAGTGCTTATATTAAGTATTTTACGTCACCTATTGATTCTTTGATTAAAGCATAAGATAGTTCTGGGGGACATTTATGGATATGTTAATGAACTACTTTAATAACTCTAGCTGTCAGCACTAGTTACAGATTAAGCCTCACGGGACATTTGGTCTTGTCTAAAACACCCACTGAGGCATTTGATCTATGCCAAAAGGTCCTTGATCCATGATAGCATTTTTATGTATTAATCCTATAAACCAAAAGTAGAAATAAATGTTATGAGCTATTTGAAGCCTGGGACATCTTCTAAGTGTAGATGTTTTTGACAGGACCAAATACCAAGGACCATTTGGCCTGGACTAAATATGTTTCTAGATATTTTGATAAGACCAAATTTTAAGGACCTTTTGGCATACACCAAATGTCTCCAAGGGCATTTTGGACAGGACCAAATGTACGCTAATCTAGATTAAGAAGCTATTTTTTTATATATTGAAGTGAAAAAACAGGCTTTACAAATTACTTCAGAGGAAGACTTTAAAAAAATTACATTGATAAGATACTGAAAATTATTTGGCCAGTCGGTGTTTATTGATTAACTCTCTCTGAACAAATATTTTAGAGAGCAAATTCGAAAGGACAGATAGGGATATAACTATTTTTTTTGTTTCCATTACTACTATAAAACTGGAGGAAGACTTTTAAAAAATAATGTTGATAAGAGACTGAGAATTATTTTGACCAGTCAATATTTATTGATTTAGCTCTCGCTGAATAAATGTTTTAGAGAACAAACTCCAAATGACAGAGTTTGATAGGAATAGAACTATTTTTTTCCTTTATTTTCAGACTGACTTTACCGATATTTTCTCTCACTAATAAGAGAGGCTATGTACAGTGTGGGGCAAAAGTAGGTTTACAACTGTTTGTATGGAAAATAATACAGTAATTAATAAATAATAACAATAATGCAAGAATAAACTCTGTGTTTCACGTACTCACAACTGTAAACTATTTTGTCCCTCCCTATATTGTGGGTCCAGTATCCAAATACACATATTTGGAAGCTATTGCATTTTTCCCATTAAAAGTAAGTTGCTGCTCTTTTTTTTCCCCTTTAGATCATGATGGATCTTTTAGAAGATTATTATTTGTGATTCAACTTTTTTTCTGTAAACGCAGTGATAAAGTGATACTATGTAACCAATCTCTTGGATTGTTTAAAAGACAATGTATAGTAAATAAGTGTATTAGCAAGAATGGATTATTAAAAACATTGATTCACTAATAGTACTAGAATATAATTGGGCCAAATCTTCTAATGCTGTTAGGTAATGATTTATGATTTCAGATCCATGAAAGCTGGATACAATTTTCATGTCCTTAGGGGGGAAGTATTAACTTCTTTTTTTATTTATTTTTTTTATCCTCACCCGAGGACATTTTTTGCATTTATCTTCAGATAGAACGGAAGGGAGAAAGGGAGGAAGAGAGAGAGAGAAACATCAATGCAAGAGAGATACATTGAGTGGCTGCCACCCACACGACCCCAACCGGGGCCGGGGACAGACTGCAACCGCAGTACGTGCCCTTAGCAGGAACTGAACCCGGGACTATCTGGTCCACGGGCCGACACTATAACTGCTGAGCCAAATCAGCCAGGGTGAAAGTATTAACTTCTGATTAGTATAATACTTTAGAGAAAATAATCAGTAGACATAAACTTAGAATGAAGTTTAGGAAAGAAGCATGCTTAAATAATTTGCCTGAACTACCTCAGTGCCTTGAATACTGTTTTGCATCTATAATATATTTACATACTTATCATCTCACCTAGAAACTGAGCTCCTGGAAAAGGGGATCTAGGGCTTAATAATGTCTGTATTTGTAGCCTAGTGTAGTTTCTAGCATATACCCTAAATTTTCTCCAGAGGAAGTCATAGTCCACCTGAGTCAGACTCACCTGGAGAGTTTTGTTAACAGTTCAGATGATCAGGGACACTCACAGATATACTAAATAAGACTCTCCAAAGGTGAGTTCCAATCTAAGATGGTAAATACATGCAATGGAATTGATAAAGCAATTCCAAGGCCTCCGGAGCCTGCCCTCCATGCATTTGCTCATTTGCTGACATGCTCATTAGCTACCAGATGAATTTTTATTGGGCACTTAATAAATGCTAGCTGCTTTGGATGTAAAGATAAATGAGGCACATAAACAGTTAAAAGCAGAAACTGTTGAATTAGAAAGTTTTGGTTTGAATCAGCCTCACCTACTTACTAACAATATGAATTTCAGCAAGTTACTTTACTTCTTTAAACCTTCTTCTTTTGTAAAATAGAAATAATACTCATGTTATTAGATTGATGTTCATATTAAGTAAGATAATGCATATAAAGTGCTTTAGTATAGTGTACTCTTAATAATGTTAGCCTCACCCCCGATTAATGAGCTTACATTTCAGGCAGGGCTGAGTTCTTGGAAAATTAGAGTAACTTGGGAATAAGGAAGAGATTGTATAAGAATTAGATTTTGCCCTGGTTGGTGTGGCTCAGTGGTTGAGCATCAACCCATGCACCAAGAGGTCGCCAGTTCGATTCCCGGTCAGGGCATATGCCCAGGTTGTGGGCCAAATCCCCAGTGGGAGGCATGCGGGAGGTGGCCAGTGAGTGTTCTCTCTCATCGATGTTTCTCTCTCTCTCCCTCTTCTTTCCTCTCTCTCTAAAATCAATAAAGAAAAATAAATAAAAGAGTTAGATTTTGTTTTATTACAAACCGTCCCAAACTTGGTGATGTAACTTTTGTTGACTCACAATTTGATGGGTTGGCAGTTTGGGCTGAGGGCTGAGCCCTGTTGAGGCAGTTCATCTCTGTTCTAGATTGTGTCATCTGGGCACACTGTGTTAGTAGCCTGCTGGCAGTCAATGGCCTCACTCACTTAATGACAGGAGCAAAGGTGGTCACGTGTACTCATCATCTAGTAGACTTGCTTGGGCTCAGGCACATGGTAGTGGCCACAGGGTTTGCAAGAGCAGTGGTAGTCCCTTGAGCAAGCACATTCCAAGCCTTGCTCGTGTCAGTTTTACTAGTGTTTTATTAGCAAAGCAAAACACATGGTCAAGTCCAGATTCAATGGGTAGAGAGACTTCCCAATTTGATGGGTGAAGAGATATGCATACAGGAAAGAAAGAATTTGTGGCCATTTTTGTAATCTTCCTAGAAAGGGTTTTAATGACTACTTACTCTGTATCAGGCTCTATGCATAGTATGGGTGACTTACATAATATTCATTTGATCCTCACAACAGTTTCTGACATGTATGGCATTCCCATTTCAAAGAAGAGGGAACTGATGATCAGATAAATTAAGAGAGTGTGTACATTTGTCCCAAATTATTTGCTTCAAGGTATGGCATGGCATTTTAGGTGCTGTCTCTTGTTACTTAGATGATCAGAAGACTAGCCCATGAGGCAGAAGGAATATCCTTTATTTAATAAAGAAAAAAAATTAATTTTACTATCCTTAATATTCCTTAAGACTTTGCAGAAGCTTATGAGGAGTGTTTAGTGTGTTTTTGTTTGTTTTGCCAGATCACCTACACAACCTGGATCTCACTGCATTTTGGACATGACTGAGCCTCTTCAATGGGCCAGATACCACTGGCAGCGGCTGATGGGCAGTCCCAACAGGGACGATGATGAGAGACCATACAACTATGCCTCACTGCTTGCCTGCGGGGGCAAGTCCTCTCAGACCCCCAAACTGGCAGGCAGGCACCGGGTGGTGGTTCCCCACATCCAGCCCTTCAAGGAAGAGTATGAAAAGTTCTCTGGAACCTATGTGAATAACCGAATACGAACGACGAAGTACACGCTTCTGAATTTTGTGCCAAGAAATTTATTTGAACAATTTCACAGGTACTTTTTGTTTTTGAAAAATATCTTTGATTGTTTGTGTCATTCTAGATGATATATAAGATTTTTCACTTTTCATAACATTGTACATTACCTAAGGCTAAGACTTATGACTGATCTTTGACATTCCTGGTAGGGTCTGCTATGGAATGATGACTGCTTACATTCACATAGCACTTTGCAGCTGGTAAGATGCTGTCTCTTCACCAGAGAAGATAGTGTTATTCTCATAGCCTGGATGAGGAAACCAGATTTGACACTGGTTTAGCTAGCGTCATCCAGCGATAAGTAGCAGAGTAGGGGCTATAGCCTTGAGTTTTCTCGCTTTTGCTTTTGTGTTCTCTCCATTAACCATGCAGCTTTTTGTTATTGTTGTTAATCCTCACCCAAGGATATTTTTCCATTGATTTTTTTTTTTTTTCAGAGAGTGGAAGGAAGGAATGGAGGTGGGGAGAGAGAACCATCTATGTGAGAGAGACACATTGATTGGTTGACTCCCATACGACTCCAACAGGGGCCGGGGATCAAACCTGCAACCCAGGTATGTGTCCTTGACCAGGAATTGACCCTGAGACCTTTTGGTGTGTGGGCCAGTGCTCTAACCACTGAGCCAAACCAGCCAGTGCAAACCATACAGCATTTTAATTTTAACTTTTTCTTACTTGATAATATGGAGAAGTAGAACGATGAAGCAAATGCAAATATAAGATGTTCTTAGGTGAAACAATAATAAAATTCAGTTTAAAACATATTTATTGAATTGTTCCTATGAATTTAGGCACTGAAGAAAATGCAAGTCTAAATGGGGTTCCTTTCCCATGGATTTTGCTGTTTATCAAGGGAAAGGAGCTATGTATAAAACAATGAAAAACACAGTGGATATGATGAGTGTGATAAAGTGCTGCCAAGTTGGATAGAAGCCTCAAAAAGAGAAATACCTCATAGTTGCTTTAATTTGCCTCTCTCTGATGATTAATGATGTTGAGCATTTTTTCACATATATCTTAGCCATTTGTATGTCCTTTTTGGAGAGGTGTCTATTTAGGTCCTCTGCCCATTTTTTATTGGGTTCTTTGTCTTCCTTTTGTTGGGTTGTATGAGTACTCTATATATTTTGGAAATTAACCCCTTATCTGATGTATCATTGGCAAGTATGCTGTCCCATACAGTGGGTTCCCTTTCCAATTTGATTGTTGTTTCGTTTGCTGTGCTCAGAGAAAAACAAATCCCACATGATCTCACTTACTTGTAGACTATAATGAACAAAATAAGCTGATGAACAAAATAGACCAGAGACATAGAAAGGAGTATGGTTCAGACTGACAGACCTCAGAGGAGGGAGACAAGGGGGATGGATGAGATAAACCAAAAAACTTAAATGCATGTATGCATAACCAACGGACATAGACAACAATGCTGGGGGAGGGTAGGATTAGGAGGAGGGTACCTAGGAGGGAAAAAGGTGAAACATCTGTAACAAAAATAAATAAAAATTGAAAAAAAAAGAAATAAGTAATTTATATACATTTATGTCTAGTTAAAATTATGGCGAATTACTAATATTAAATCTAAGTGGCTAAAAAAAGAGAGAAATAATGCTGATAGCTATAGCAGTGGAAGAAGAAGTGGCGTTTGAACTTAATTATGGAGGGTGGGTGAGATATTCAAGGCAGAGGTGCAGGCAAAGCACATTTCAGATAAAAGAAGGAGTATGCAAAGCAGTAGCACAGAAGATTTTCTTGAGGCCTATGAAGTAATCCTTTCTGACTAGCATGATGAGACTCAAACTGAAGGCAGAGAGGACAATTAGAAAGATACTGTATATATCCTGGTGAGTTGTAATGGAGATTTGAACTTAGATCAATGTGTGAATGAAAATAAAGATACTGTGGATTAGATCTGGGGAATTATGTAAAAGGATGATGTCACCCTGTTGAGCTGAGATGACCAGGAGGATTAACAGAAAAATTAAAATCAAATAAAAAAGAAGCTTGGCTGGAAGATTATTTTGTCTTTGTTTACAATGTTAATGTTAAATGTGTGTAGAGTATTTTGAAAAGTTTGAGTACACAGATTCTCAATATTCAATATTCATTCTTTTTAAATTTTTTTTCTGTATTGATTTTAGAGGGAGAGAGAGAGAAACATCGATGAGAGAGAACATTGATTGGCCGCCTTCCACATGCCCCCACTAGGGATTTGGCCCACAACCTGGGTATGTGCCTTGACTAGGAATTGAACCAGTGATCTCTTGATGCATGGGTCGACACTCAACCACTGAGCCACCACACTAGCCATGCTCAATATTCATTCTTATTATTTACTGCATATGTGTTCCATATGCATTCATTGAACAGTGGATATGTTTAAAGTATGCATGTGAATTTGTTGAATCAATGGCTTTAAATGCTATGGGTATTTCTGTCTTTTATGGAGTTTGCAATCTATTGCACTTGATGGAATTAGAATCTGAACCTTGAAGAGTTCAGGGCCAATGATGTAGATTTGGAGGCTGTTCACATAGAAGTGACTTAAGCCAAAAACAGCAAAAAATGGTTAAAGAAGAAATATTCAGAGTAAAAGGATTTGGAAGTGAGGAAGGAGAAATGTGTGTAGAGTATTTTGAAAAGTTTGATAGTTAATGGGGAAAATATGTGATAAAAATTCAAGGGGCTATGCAGCATTGAGATTTTGTTTGTTTATTTTAAGGAAATGGGCCACTTGAATTTACCTTGGGGGCCAGTGGAGGAGTATTTGAATATATAAAATAGAGGAATGGAGGAAGTTCCTGAGCAGGTAGTTCTGAAGAGCATTAAAGCAGAAATAGAAGGATTTGTCTCAAGGGGGAAAAAAAGCTCTCAAACTTTTTTACTTGTTTTAGCCTTGTTTGAATGTAATAGGTGGATGTACAAATTAACTTCTGAAGGGTAGAAAGTTGGGTCATTTAAATTTTTTTTTTGCAACTTATAACACTGAATTTCCTGTTTCCTAAACTTTAAAAAAAATGTTTTTATTGATTTTAGAACGAGAATAAAGGAGAAAAAAGAGAGAGAGAGAGAAACATTGATGAGAGAGAGAAACATCTATCAGCTACCTCCTGCACGCCCCCTACTGGGGATCGAGCCTGCAACTGAGGCATATGCCCTCACTGGGAATCGAACCAGTGACCTCTTGGTACATGGGACAGCACTTAACCAACTGAGCCACACCGGCCAGGGGAGTTTTTTGAACTTTTGAAAAGAAAATAGTATTTCCTATTATGTTTTATATCATGTGTCATACAATTCAAGATGTCATACTCCAGTGTTTACTATTATATATTTAATATATAATTCCTCTCATTTATTAAAGTATACCTTGAGCCAGATGTCTACAGGGGTTATTCAGATTTGTTAGATTTTGCTTTTTTTCCATAGTATCTGAAGTCAGCTATTAAAAACTTGTAGAAAAACACCCTAAGGTATTTTTGCCTCTTGTACTTTAGGTATTTATGTGATTTGTTAACACCTTGTGTGTGTTTGTTTGCAGAGCTGCCAATTTATATTTCCTGTTTCTAGTCGTCCTGAACTGGGTGCCTTTGGTAGAAGCGTTTCAAAAGGAAATTACGATGCTACCTCTGGTGGTGGTCCTGACAATTATCGCAATTAAAGATGGCTTAGAAGATTATCGAAAATACAAAATTGATAAGCAGATCAACAACTTAGTAACTAAAGTTTACAGTAGGTAAGTGTAACAGGAGCTGTCCTGGGGAATACACACATATCATTCAAAAACATGCAGAATGTTGTTCCTTTTCCTTAGGTGTGATCAGGACCTTTTTATGTGGTGGTGGTGGTGGTGGTGGTGATATTTTCAACTAACATTTATTAAAGACCTACAGTAACTTTAATTTATGTGTCACAGGAAAACAAAAGTGTATGAGACAGTCAACCCAGGAATCAAAAGCTGTCATAACTTATAAATGAAATTGAAAGAATTAAACTTCAAACCATATGTAGGAAAGCAATCATATAGTTATTAATTCTAGATGTTGCAGTTTGGGATTAGAAGAGGATGGGGTATGAAAAATATGAATGGATATGAAAAACAAGATAGAATATGTAAAAGAAAAGACAAGAGCTACCTTTGGAGAAAAGGGGTTCTGAAAAAATGGAGAAGAATGTTCTTTGGTGGGGTGGGGAGGGGTCAAAAATAGAGGCCGAGACTTCCGGTCAAGATGGCGGCGTAGGTAAACGCGGTATCGCGTCCTCCCACAACCACATCAAAGTTACAACTAAACTACAGAACAACCATCATTCAAAACCGCCTGAAATCAAGCTGAATGGAAGTCATACAACTATGGAATTAAAAAAAAAAAAAAAGCTACATCCAGACTGGTAGGACGGGCGGCGCGGCGGCATGAGGGGCGGTGGCGGCGGCGCACGGAGGCGAGACGGGCTGGTCCCACACCCAAGCGTGGTGGATAAAAATCAGGAGGCTCCCGCGGCTGGGAAGGTCCTTCCTGAGGACTGAGGGGTCCCCGTCCCACACCAGGTGCCCCGCTCAGGGTTCCAGTGCCAGGGAGAGAATCCCCATAACTTCTGGCTGGAAAAACCAGCGGAAACTGAGGCTCAGGGAAGCTGACCTGGCTGGAGCCCCAGGCAGCTCCCTAAAGGGCCCGCGCACGGACTTATCGGACTCTCTCCCTCTAAGCTCGGAGGGGAGGCAGCTCGAGGGGCGCCAGAGACATACAGGGAAGAACTGAGCTGGTTGGCACTGGAGCGAGGGCTGGAGAGGGGGCTTCCTCAGGGACAAACGTGCTGTCAGAGGCCTTTGTTCCTTTGAGCCCTTCCCTGGGGCGGGAGACAGCTGCCATATCTGGGACTCCAGCAAACTGGCTCACACTGGTAGCCCCGCCCTGCTGACTCCCTGAGGCCCCGCCCCACCCCACACAACTTTCAAGCCCACCCAAGCTGTTGCCACTTGCTTAACCATAGGATTGGCCAGTCTTGGATCCTGCTTCAGGTTTTTCCTAAATGCTTTCAAACGAGCAGCACCGGGTCTCAGCGAGCCCCATACCTCTCATTAAGTAATACACAGAAACAAACACAGGAGGCAGTCAAAATGAGGATACAAAGAAACAGGTCCCAAATGAAAGAGCAGAACAAAACCCCAATAAAAGAACTAAGCGAAAGGGAGATAAGCAACCTAACAGATACCGAGTTCAAAATACTGCTTATAAGGATGCTCAATGAACTTAGTGAGAACCTCAGTGAACTTAGGGAGGGCCTCAAGAGCATAAAAAAGGACCAGTTAGAAATCACGGATACACAGTTAGAATTAAAGGAGGCATTAACTGAAATAAAGAATAATTTACACAGCTTCAATAATAGAGTATTTAAATCCAAGGAGCAAACCATCGATTTGGTATATAAGGAAGCAAAAAATCCCCAATCAGAACAGCAAAAAGAAAAAAGAATCCAAAAAAATGAGGATAGTGTAAGGAGCCTCTGGGACAACTTCAAGCGTGCCAACATTCGCATCTTGGGGGTGCCCGAAGGAGAAGAGAGAACAAGAAATCAAAAACCTGTTTGAAACAATAATGGCAGAAAACTTTCCTAACTTGGTGAAGGAAACAGATATACAAGTCCAGGAAGCACAGAGAGTCCCAAACAAGATGAACCCCAAGAGGCACACACCAAGACACATCTTCATCAAAATGCAAAAGGTTCAAGACAAAGAGAAAATCTTAAAAGCAAGCAAGAGAAAGGCAGCTAGTTACCTACAAGGGAGTACCCATTAGGCTGTCAGCTGATTTCTCAAAAGAAACTTTGCAGGCCAGAAGGGAGTGGCAAGAAATATTCAGAGTGATGAAAACCAAGAACCTACAACCAAAATTACTCTATCCTGCAAAGCTGTCATTTAGAATCGATGGCCATATAAAAACTTTCCCAGACAAGAAAAAGTTAAAGGAGTTCATCACTACCAAACCGTTATTATATGAAATGATGAAGGGTCTTTTTGAAGAAAAAGATAAAATGTATGAACAAACAAAATGGCAATGAATACATATCTATCAACAATGGAATCTACAAACAAAATGAACAGGAAGAACAGAAACATTCTCATAGATACAGAGAACATTTTGTTGGTTGCCAGTTGGGAAGGGGGTTGGGGGAATAGGTGAAAAAGGTGAAGGGATTAAGAAGCACAAATTCATTGCTAGACTGACAAACCTCAAAGGGAAAGGGGTTGAGGGGGTGGGAAGAAATAAACCAAAGAACTTATATGCATAACCAATGGACACAGACAATAGTGTGGGAAAAGGTGGGAGGGGGGCGGGAGTGGGCAGGAGGGGGTCAATGGGGGAAAAATGTAGAACATCTGTAATACATTTTACATCCAAAAATAAAGATTTGAAAAAAAAAATAGAGGCCGAAGAAATTTCCCACTGTAGCAACAGGCATTCACAATAGGTTTTTTCAGAAGCGTATTTGCTGTGTTGGGGGCTTGTATTTCCTTATGAAATGGAAAGCCTGCATAGCCAAGAATAAAGGCAATTAAGATGAGTTTTGAACTTTACTATATATTATATGCCTACAATTACAAATTATATTACACCTACAAGCTAGTATCCAGAAACAATTACTAATAACACTGTGGGGTGGTCTTTCAAGTCCTCTGCAGATTGTGTGTCTCTTTTACCAAACTGAGATAACACTACATGATTGTTTTCTTATTCTTTTAGCCTAATATTATACCAAAAACATTTCCCATGTTTTTATCCTTCAACGAAGTATTTTAATAGCTGCATTGTCTCTCCTATGACTTTAATTTACTTAAATATTTCTTATATTTGCATAATTTTGAGAATTATGTTTTGGTGAGTATTATACAAAAGTTTTGAAGATCTATGATTATTTTACCATATTAATTAGAAGTGGAATTACTAGATCAAAGAGGAGGAATACATTTAAATTCTTATTTGTGTGACTTTTATTAAAATGAGTAACGATGTTTATAATGTTAATTCTCTGGAGTTCCCTTTCATGAGAACTGTATTTATTTATTTATTTATTTATTTATTTAATCCTTACCCGAGGACATTTTTTCCATTTTTTGTTCAGATAGAGCAGGAGGGAGAGAAAGGAAGAGAGAGAGAGAGAGAGAGAGAGAGAGAGAGAGAAACATCGACATGAAAGGGACACATAGAGTGGCTGTCACCCGCATGACCCAACCAGGACCGGGGACAAACTGCAACCAAGGTACGTGCCCTTAGTGGGAACCGAACCCGGGTCTCTCTTGACCGCAGGCCAATGCTCTAACCGCTGAGCAAAACTGTCCAGGGCTGTATTTATTTTTTTTTAAGAAGTCATCATTAGAACAATTTTTTGAACAGATTTCTGAGTCAAATATGTTAATTGCTTTACAGACAAGTTCATGGTGTCACTTTTTCTTCATTTCAGAGGTAGGAAGGTTTATAGAGTATTTTGGGGATAGCGAATATATTAACTTGGCCTGCGGGAAGTAACCGCAAAAGGAGCAATAAGCAATACAAAGTTAAAGAGGGAGTTTAAGAACTTCTGTGGAGGGACTTCACCACCAGGCTGCTGCTTGGAAATGGTTTTAGTCAAGGTGCTTCCGAGAAACAGAACCAATAGGAATGAGATTTATACAAGGAACCGGCTCACGTGATTATGGAGGTGAAGAGGTCCCACCATCTGCAAGCTGGAGTCCCAGGAAGGCAGGCAGTATTGTAAGAATGCTTGGGAGATGCAGAGCTGAGGAGGAAGATTTCAGTCCAAGTCTCAAGGCCTGAGAACCAAGTGTTGAGGTCCGGAGTTCAGTGTCCCAGCTCAGCAAATTCTGTCTCCCTCTACCTTTTTGTTCCATTCAGGCCTTCAGGAGATTGGATGATGCTCACCCACACTGGGAAGGGCCATCTACTTTACTCAGTTCAATAATCCAAATGCTAATTTCTTCCAGAAACACTCACAGACACACGAGGAAATAATGTTTAACCAGACAGCTGGAAACCTCGTGGCCCAGTGAAGTTGACACTTAAAATTAACCATCATAGATATTTTCCTTTAGTGGTAGAGAATCCATCTTTTCAGCAGAAAAGTAATATGGGGCTTTAAGAACATTGGTCTCTGTGAGTCATGAAAATAGCCTCTACTCTACAGTAGATCTGTGTCTACTGATCAATCCAGGGCATTACTGGGAGAAATGCAAAGTACAGGAAGGGATCATAGAAGAGATACTGTGAAGAAGAACCCAATTGAATTTGGTGAACTTTTGTGATTGAGCTTTTGAAGATAAAAGTACCACTGACAGAAATAGGGAACATTAAATTCACCTCAGGTAGGATGAATTGGAAATGATAGCAGGACAGGCATCCAAGTGGCAATGCCCAGTGGGCAAATAGGAACACTGCTGCCGCTCTGGGAGGAAGGAGAGACTACAGAGAGAAACTTCAAAGTCATCAAGCCCTTTAGACTTTGAAGTCAGGAGTTTGACTTAAATCCCTAAGGGAGAAAACATGAAGAGCTAAAAGACAGCTCTGAGCCCAAAGGTAGGCACCTACTTCAGCCTTTGAGAAGACTTCACAGGTTCCCTTGGACAGTTGCTGTCCCTCTGCCTTCTGAGATTCAAAAGCATTTGGTACATTTCTTAGATTGATTTCAGTGCTCTTGTATAGTCCAAGTGCATATGACAATAATTCTAAGTTTGTCTGACTAGAG